GAGTTATATGATTACCGTGACAGCACAAACAAAACGCTTCTCCTCTGCCAAAAATTCTCCTGGAAGTGAATCATTTAGCATTTTGCCAAAGTTAACTAATATACTAATCTTTCTATACATTAGTTGTTTAGATGGGTCTCGGGAAATGCCGTGTCTACAATAAAGTGTAACGAATCGTAGCATTTTTCACCACATCGATGTTCTGATGAGTGTTTGTTTCCACTCACAGAGTTGGAAGATAGCCACAGCGGAAAATCTTTAGACGCGATTTGCATTTAGATGGATTCATGTTTGCTGAAAAGTGCGTTTTATTTCTTCTCTGAATATGAATATTTATAGAGTATTTACAACTTTTCTGTGTCTTGCAACAAAACATGTACTGATAATTCCAAATCGTAGTTACAAGAATTTTATAACAAAGTGTCGTTTTGGAGTGAATAAAAAAACTACCGGTTAGTATTACCTAACTCTACATATAAGACCAAACAAATTCCTGTTCATGCCACACTTTTCGATTTCCAAGCTTCCGAAGGCATCCATAAACCTGTACCACAACTATAATGCATAACCTTCTTTAAGGAGACTTCAAGAGCTTGAAGGGATTTTTAAATTTTCCGCCTGTTGGTAACACTGTTGCAAACGCGCTTGGCCAAATATTAGCACTATGAGCTATTTAATTCAACCGTTACCGTCAATGTATGTAAAATATAACACAGTGAATCTAATTCCATAGTGATGCTTCATGTAACACCTCCTCAGTAAGTCTTTCTACATCCATTGATTTCGTCTCGACTCAAATCGCTACAAAAGAATACGAACACAAAGTATAATAACTGCATACAAAGCTTACCCCGCTAGTGTGTTGATAGCAGACAGTTACGTAGAGGTGTATGCCAGCTACGCATATACTTAGCTTTAGAGCTAAGTATAAGCGTTCCACTTAGATTTAGAGCTATATGAAAAATTGAGACAACAAATCTTTCAGCTTTTATGCTCAAAGCGCTCATCTAGATAACCTGCCAGTCTCTGTGCACAGAACGTTATTTATTTTATAATGAGGGGATTGATATATGGCGACAAGCGAGTAAGGCCAGTCCTACATTGGAAGCGGAATTGGCCACACCAGATCAGTCCAGAATAGGCGGTTTTCAGCCAGGAGCGGAAGAACCAGTACTTGTCAACTCTCGACGAGGAAAGTTGTCTATTACGGCGGAAAAATGGACGAGGAACCAATTGATTTCATGTTATTGGACAGGAATTTATTATCAAACTTGCGTAGAAGAAAATAGGTTCATGACTTCAATGCAGACCACCGTCAAATTGTCTACCTGCCTACCCATGCGTAGTTCAAACGTTAAAACGCACTACCTCAACCAAAGCGTCCATTCTTCGGACCCGTCCAGACCCGCTCACATCAACTGGTCGGGAAAAATTGTGTTTCCAATGTAAGAATGGCCTAAGCAACTATCAGACTACCAGGCCAACCCGGCTTCGCTGTATTCTCAGACAATGGAAGTCCAACCATCCATATATCACGAGTTCTCCCAGAAGAAATAAGTAATAATGATGAAAACAATAATAAATATTTTGCGTAACGTAAGGTGATGTTTTTATCATAAACATCAAACACCACCTAGATCACTTGATCAAAAAGAAACCATTCTGCATTGACATTGTCCTGTCATGAAAGAGAATGCTATATGATTCAATAAGTATCGTTAATTGAAAATGACATTCATTGAACTTGAAACGTCTTTCAAATTCATGAATTCATTCATTACTGGATACATTGAGTTGAATATTCTTTCATTATCCTCCAACCATGTGTATTATCTTTCACACAACTTTGCACACAAATACAGTTCATTTGACCAATATGAAACTTTTACGTATCCAAGAAACACTTTATTGTGTAAAAACACGCCTGAAAAATCTATTAAATAGCGAAACACGTGTTGCGTTTTTGTTAAACTGTTCAGTGAAAATCTCACAGTGAAGTGTTTCTTGATTATGTGAGATTTCTAAATAGTTTTATAGAAAAGCGTGTCTATACTAGTATAGACACTAGTATAGAAGCTATTGTATAATATGTATACTTGTATAGACACCAGAAGCTATTGCATAACGAGATTTCCACTAAACAGTTTTACAAAAACGCAACACGTGTTATGCTATAAAATAAATTCTTCGGGCGTGTCTTTACTAGTATAGACACTAGAAGCTATTGTATAATGAGATTTTCACTAAACAGTTTTACAAAAACGCAACATGTGTTTCGCTATACAATAGCTTCTTCAGGAGTGTCTGTACTAGTATATACACTGGTATAAAAGATATTGCACAAAGATATTTTCACTAAACAGTTTTACAAAAACGCAACACGTGTTTCGCCATACAATAACTTCTTCAGGCGTGTTTATACTAGTATATACGCTAGTATAGAAGCTATTATATAAAGAGGTTTTCACTAAACAGTTTTACAAAGACGCAACACGTGTTTCGCCATACAGTAGTTTTTTCAGGTGTGTCCACACTAGTATAGACACTAGTAGAGAAGCTATTGTAAAATGAGATTTTCACTAAACAGTTTTGCAAAATGCAACACGTGTTTCGCTATACAATAGCTTCTTCGGGAGTGTCTATACTAGTATAGAAGCTATTGTATAATGAGATTTCAAGTAAACAATTTTAAAAAAAGGGAACACATGTTTCGCTATATAATAGCTTCTTCAGGCGTATTTATACTGTTTACGTTATGTATTTTCATCAAGTATCGGCTGATTCCATCACATATGAAACTTTCACTTTCCTGAAAGTGAGCGATGGAGAGTTAGTTCTTTATTGGAGAAAAGATGTGTTTCGGTACCAACTCGCCACTTTTCAGGAACCCCCTTGTATAAAAGATTAATTTTTTGCAACTCTGATTAATGTTAATTTCATTTTGAATTACATATGGCGACTCTTCAGATACTCCTAATTATTTGAGGTTATGTAATATACGAGTAATAATTGGGTCACTTCTGAATGGGTCCAGGTTGAGTTTTAGAAAAATTAACACATAAAAACATTGAAAGTTTTAAATCAGAGCCATTGAAAAAATAATGTCAATAACCTATTGGATATCTTGTTTATTGCTGAAGGTTTAATTTCATTTTATTGGTTTCAATTAGTTATTTCCATCCTAAACCCGAAATGAAAATAAATTGCATTAAGACATAATCTGAAACACGTTTCCAGGTCACGTTGTTTCTATAAATACAGCCAATAAGAAGATGACTTAACGTCTCGACAGTTTCGTAAACAGAAACATCACGCGGCTTTCGCAACTCAAGCGTTTTTTCTTCAAAGGGTAAATTTCATCACTCGAAGAGAATAAAAGGACTATCCACTTTTCGTCTTATATTTCTCCCAAGCGAGCGCGAGGAGATTTCTCGTTTTTAGATTCTCGATCTATCTTGCGGATACGTAAAGGTCTTGCGTAGTACTGCGATCAATAACACGCAGTGCTAGATTTGTGACAGAGTTAAAACTGGGTCACACCCAAACAAGCTTCACGGGCGCCCCGAATCACAACGTGCTGTCAAGGGATTCCCCAGTATTTTATGAGCCTCTTTTATGTGTAACACGTGACCGCCACCATGGGAGCTGTCAATTTCGATTCTTACAGCTGTATTGCTCCATAGCGAATTTCGATCGCTATTAAATATCTGTTCGATTGATATACGAGTATTTAGACCTTTTGTAAATGTTTCGATTTTTTAAATAAATTTTGGTTGTCCAGGATATAAAGAAAGATTGTTGTTTCACGCCTTTAGAACCCCAACATAATGTTTATAACGTTTCCACTACCAAAACATTGACATTAAATGATGTTAGTACAAATTGATTGCTTGATCGACAGTTCTTTTTCCAGTTTACTGGATATCGCCATTTCTTCTTTTACAGAAAATATTGATTTCCTATTCCATACTTTCAAAAGCCTTCAAAAGTAGCACAGTGTCATGTTTCAATCTCTGTTTTGTTGAGCGACAGTAAACTATTGCAGTTTTCGAAATTTGATACATACATTTTCGATTGGATAAAAACCTGAGCCTAAAAGTAGCTTTCAAAACTGTTTGTTCACTTCAAAAGTATTAGAAAATCCGAAAGGCAAGATGATGAGAACTAAGAAATGTATAAGTAGTATGGTATTTGCGAAGTAAGCTCTGAAAACTACTACAAACAAGTATGTAGGATAGACTAAACGGGTGAATGAAACTCGTGTCAACAAACACGCAGCATATATCCGATTTCGTAAAGCAGAAAAATCCGGTTTCGTGTTGTAAATACTGATGAATTATCAAAGCATAATGCGGAGAAGCACTGTCGTGAAACATAAAATGAATACCAGCACATTGATCATAGATCAAAATTCAGAAGATTTTTTTGACTGTGCCACAGTCGAATCTATAATAATGAGATCAATTGCAAAATAAACTAGTAGCACTTTAATTCAGTATTAAACTCAAATTTTAAGAAAATACTGGAACTACATTAGGTACTAAAGTGATTTTGGAATATTTGTTAAATACTGTGGGTACTCCTTCCTGGGGTTACTCTGAATACTTGAAATAATGTGATACGATGTACTCGAATATTTTCTGTACCTGAATTAGTTTCAGTACTCTTGATAAATTTTATAAATACCAAAAACCACTGAAGCAATACTACAGATATCTGAATGTAACATAAACAATCTAGACACATTTTGAATGTAGTAGACAATAATCTTTTTTTAAAATCAGATTTCAATGTTGAAAAGAATAATACGTACCTAGGTTTCAAACCTGTTAATCTCTCCAAACCTCTAATTTTTATAAATTCTATAATTTTCGACTCGTCATATCCAGTAACCTGTTATCGTTATGTATTCTATGAATAATGAATATTTCAACTCGTGCTGTTCAATGACAAATTATCAATATGAATGCTTTGAATAATAAATGTTTCGTTTGTTACAGAACACGTACCTTAAGTTCGAAGAGAAACGGAACAGAAGTGATACTTCATTATTGAGAAGAGAGTTCAATGTGTTAACCAAATCATTCAGAGAAGAACGTAACTAACATTGATACAAGATGCATATTGAGGTTCAAGTAGCTTTGAATTTCGTGATATCGTACCTGTACAACAAACTCCCCAGGAGGCGGGTCAACATATTCGGGGAAGAACTAGAAAAAGCCTTAAAAGACAAATTCCAGGGACACTGGTATCCGGAAAAACCGTTCAAGGGTTCAGCTTTCAGGTGCTTGAAGACGGGTGACCCGATTGACAAGGTATTGGAGCGCGCTGCGAGAGAGAGCGGAGTTCCTATTCAGGATATCTTGGAGAACCTTCCTCAGGAGCTCGCAGTTTGGGTGGACCCCGGTGAAGTCAGCTACCGCATAGGCGAAAAAGGAGCCGTTAAGATCCTCTTCAGCGATAAAGGCGATCCGCTCGAAGACCACTCCGCTGACAGGGAAGTTACCAAAACCTTCAATCCTGAAGCCCAGTGCTTCAGGCCGATAGAGTGCGTGACGTCTAGCATGAATAACCTGAGTATCTCGCCAAAAGCGCTTACTCCCTTCGCCAATAATCCCCAGAACAACACGGTTGGTGTTCAGCTTCATCAGCAAATGCCAATTCCGCCTCACAACGGAAATCAGCAGCTTCCAAATAATACCAACCACCATTCGTCACCCTCGTTGGCTCCATCGCCTACCCTTAACAACTCTTACAAGGGTTCGCCGTCGCCTGTGCCTGCTTTCATACCCAGGACTACTACGCCGCTCACTTTCACGACAGCAACGTTTGCTCAAACGAAATTCGGCAGCACCAAACTCAAGACAAGCAGCAAGAGAGCTAATAGGTGAGTAATCAACTGAAATCAATCAATGTATGACGATTTTTCAAAAATGTTAGCTTTCGTTCAGTTCAATAAATATTTCTCAATGTTTCTTCAATATGAGACCAAAAGTAGAACACTAACTTAACAGCTGACAATCCCGTAAATGAGCAATACGTTACGTAAAGAGACTTTGACGAATTCAGGAGAAAATCCGATCTAAAGTAAGTCTTTGCTCTTCTATTATAAACGCAAGGCAGTATCATGCGACTTGTCTTTTCATTATATCGATTCGAAACATTTGCGAAAGTGAAGAACATCCTTGAAGAGTTACTAAAGGTACAGAGGAAATCTGGATATACCACAAAGTATGGAGACCCGAAAATGATCAGATAATTTACCTACTGTTGAATTAGACCTAGAATCCTTTCCGCAACCCCTCCACATAGACAGTAACTCCATTATCGTTAGAAGCTTTCTAAAATCCTGAGCCCAATAAAATTCTCTCACTCCGAAAAAAAGTTCTTCAAAAAAGATTTCTGCTGCACTTGTTTCGAAACACTTATTGGTGGAAATATTACCTAGCACATAATCACCACTTTTCAACTCAACTCAACTCAACTAGAAGGGAACAGGAGATAACATTAATATTACTGGAGTTTTTTTCCCAACACCAGAAATTAATTTTCCCCTTGAAGATGATCTCTTGGTGATTGAAACACGTATCGAGGTGTTAAAAATAACGGTTTGGTGTTGGGATCAAACTTCAATATTATTCATTACTACACCAAAGGTTCCAAACACCGCATTACAAGATACCACATTAGTTTATCGAGAGTCAAACCTATCCTATCTACAAAAACTGAGGTATGAATTCATGTTTTCAGTTCTTGTTTGAAGAGTTGGAAAGGGTCTGAGAATAGTTGGTTGCAAGGAGAATCTCTCATTTCGAAACTGAAGAGTTTACTACAAAAAACTGCTGCATAATATAAACCTTTGAAGCATAAATTTAGTCAGTAAGTTGTATTCCTAAATTTATTGTCAAGGACTTTGTGTAGTATATACGTTTCCCCACCATATAATATCCCAAAATAGTAAAATAGTAATGACAATCTGGGAGAATCACTTCACTGTGTTTCGTCAGTACCAACTGAGACAAATATGGTCATCGAAATTGACGTGGAAGAATATAGTTATAGTTGCTGCTATAAATATATTTGCTTCACACTCCTTTTGTGTAGTAGTGAAGTAGATTTGGAAAAAGCTGTGTCAACTTTACCAGAAGACCTGCTTAGGATTTTGTATCCTAAATCATTCACTTCACGATTATATCTACCTCAACAACAAAGGAGTGTCTACATAATAGAATGGATACTAATGAAACCTGTAAAATCCTGAATAGTTTGGACTTCTGTTAGAGCGAAGGACGATGAAATTAACTTCATACCGTAGATTTGCCTCTTGAGGCTTGAGAATAAGAAAATGCACGAAGTCATCGAAGTCGTCAACTCAACCAGAAACCTTAATTTAGCTATTTTCAGATAAATTGAAATGAATTCTAAGAATTGCCTATGTACGCGTATGCGTATGTATGCGCATTGCGTATGTACGCAATTATACTATTTTCTATGGAACAAAATTATGTGCTATTGACGTTTGTTTCTTTTTTCGAAGCCTTTATCTAATGAAAAAAATATATTTTCCAAGAAACAGAATCTCTCATTCAAAAAATATAGGTACAGAGTGTAACAAAGTTTCAAAGAGATATTCAACTGAAGCCTTTCTTGTCGACCAAACGTGCCAACAATATCTCATTCATGTTGTGAAGAATTGTTACAGTTTCTTGAAAAGAGAAATTTGGGTCGCAATGGAAACTGGCAAGGTTCCAGAAAACTCTTTTTGTCTGGAACATATAAAACAAATTTAAAGCAGAGACTGAATTGAAGCGCTGTCTAATGACATTATAGGAAACGGTAAAATATAACCTTAATACGGTGTAATAATATAGTTGAAAATTTATAACGTTGTTGTTACGGACTCTTCAAAAAACAATTCTATTTTGAGTCACGTTAACCTACAACAGGAGAACGACTAAAATTGAAACAACTGCTTTCATATAAACATTGAATTATACAAAAAACACTTTTTTCTATTCAGTTTGCACTCCAAAAATTCGTTATGGAATTGATTCAGATATCATTCACAGGATTACTACACAATATCGTATGTGAAAGAAGGAATATTTCACTTAGATGGAACACTGTCATCCTCAATGGCGGACATCGATGTTTCGGAATAAGACACTTGTCTTTTGTATAAAGATGGAGAAGTAGAAAGTCAAAACCTTTCTTTCCCAAAAATCAATTTCTCCTAAAAATATCCCCCTTTCGATTTGAACAAGATTTCTATATGGTTCGATTGATGATCTATTCATTTTATAGAAATTCATATTGAATATAGGATAAAAAAAATAATTTTTGTCTGATTTCTACTGAGTTTTTTAATTGTTACGACCGGTTTTGGTTTGTTAAACCATTCTCAAATAAACTTGAGTAAACTTCAGAATGGTTCAACAAACCGGAACCGGTCGTAATGAATAAAAAACTTGGTAAAAATCAGACTAAAGTTATTTTCTTTATCCTATATTCAAGATTTCTATGACTGGGGTTGATTCAAATAAGGGAATGAATATCATTATGTACTGTCATCGACAACATGAGGAGATTTAACTCTTTCGTGACATGAGGTCGTAATTTTATGAATGGATGCTTTATCTTGTAATGGTATCCAGATTGATATTGAAAAGGCAATAAGACAAGTGTCTCATTCCGAAACATCACTGTCCGCCATTCAGGTTGACAGTGTTCCTCTTTCATATATGATATTGTGTAGCAACCCTATGAATGATATCTGATTCAATTCCATAACGAATATTTGGAGTCCACACTCGGTAGGAAAAAGTGTTCGTTGTATAATTCAATGTTCATATAAAAGTAGTTGTTTCGAAAGTACTTCTTCTTTCGTGTAATTCATTGTTCATATGAAAGTTGTTATTTCGAAAGGACTCTTTCCAGTTTGTGTCTAAAGGTTAGTGTTTGCAAGATCTACACATCTTTGCAAAGAATTTCGATTTAGTTTTGAAGTCAATTGCTTTCTTTCTTTCTTTGGAAGATTCCCACATGTTTTGTATAAAGATGGAGAAATAGTAAATCAAAACCTTTCTGTCCAAGAATGACTCACTCACAAAAAATGTGAAAAATCGATTTGCAAAAATTAAATGAAAAAATAGGCACTTCAACGGTCAACTGTTGAACTACAATTTAGTAATATCAGTTGAACATCCGATATAAGAAAGTTTCATTAGTTTCTTATGTTAATGAATACTCTCAAGTCACTTCGAAATTATAAGTGTATTTCTGTGACCATTTTTTGTATAATGTACTTACAGCCCGTTCCTTCAACTTGAATATCGAATCCAAATATGAAACCATTAATCTTCTCTTCTGATGATATAAATGATACAGAAAAAACTAATTGAAAAAATCGAACCCAAAATTTAGTGGGTGTTTGTATATTATGAAATTATTATTTTCTAATATCCACTCAACACATTTGATAATAACATAACGAATGTGACTAATCATGTATAAACACCCTTTATATACCAAAGAATCTATACCCTAAGATACCACATAATTTACAGATTGGAACGTGCCAGTTGCAGTGTTAATGCGGACATGGTAAAACCAAGGTTGGGGTACAACTTTAATAATAATTCGTAAGTCACATTCCTTATGTTTACTTCTATTCTGGTCCAATAACTTCCAAATTATTTGTGGGTGGCGATATAATCTCTTCGATTAATCTGTCTCCGTTTTGAATTTCTTGGAAAACGGGCAAATAATTAACTATTGGCTTTCTTAACGTTCAGTTTTCGAAAATAGTCTAACTTTTAACACTTGAGTCATCGCCAGAAGACGGATCGAGAAATAAAAAAACATCAGAGATATTTGAATGATACAAATTGTTTAAATCTATACCAAAAAAACTGTTTTTGGAAGAATACAGATAAATGAGAAACTTTCACCAAAAATGCCAACCTTATTAGAAATAAGCCATCAAAAATGCAAACCTCAGACACGTTTCTGGCTTGCCAAGTCTAATGAAAAGAAAAAATGGTATGTGTCTATAGTTTTCTGTTTTGATGCTCAATGAGGAAGGCAATTATTGAATTACGTAATTTTTTAATAAGATTTAAATGAAGTTTTTCTTGGACCTGTCGTCTGCAATTATTTCATAAGGACACACCTACGTCGGTTGATCAGATGGTGAATCTCAGCCGAACTTTAATTTAATTGGAATCTCTGCCGTGAAATGAACCTAAAGGAACACCTTTTCCACACCAGAACAAAACAGTCTATAATTTGACGAGAAATGTTTTTATTTCATTAGCGGAAGTAAATATGAAATTAATTTTTTCTGAAAGCATATTATTCTGATTACCTCCCAGAAACCTTCATTTACTATTCATTTTACAAAATCAAAATGAGTAGTAAATGATTTTTTGATCAAAATATATGTTTATAGTAAAAATTAAAATGATGAAAATGAATTGAGTTAGATTGGGTGAGATTTTTCTTGCCGTGCTTTAAAAATGTTACTTAAAACTCCATTAGATAGAAAAGGGAAAATGACAAGTATTTTCAGTCAAAACATGATATTCCATGACATGACATTCCTTAAATGTCCATTCAGTATTGAGAGCAAAGGTTTCTTTAGAAACTTTATGAAAGAAACAGATAGCATTTTATACTATTTCTGCCTTTGATATATCGCCAACAAAGATTTTTTCTAGGTATGTAGAAATCTATAATTCCTTTCAAAATTCTGAACATTGAAGTTTTCTTTAATTTCTTTCAAATTCATAATTTAAATTTTCATTGAATCCCATCAAAATAAAAAAACATACATTACAAAAATCACTAGCAGTCGATGTCGTTACCACCAAAAAAAATACTAACAATCAAAAACATAACGTAATCAATCTGAATTACAGATTCGAATTGAACCGTCAGCAGAGAGTCATCTTGAATATTTTTTATTATTTCCGAAGTTTACATCGTAGACGCCGTAGCCTACCTTCTGCGTTTCTCATATACGACGCTGCCAAATCTTCTCAGTCCACCAATCCGCTCGTATACTAGTTGCAATTTCTATGGTGTTCAGGAATAACATATTTTGATTTCCGCATAAGCTCGAGAATTCCACCCCGTAAATACGTCTCATGTCGCATGATTTTTTTAAGGACAAAACACAAGCACTTCAGGAAAATCCTCAAGGCGCTCTAAGAGCGGTCCTGTGCGAAAATAATGATTCACATTGGATTTGAATCGCTGGAGAATAAATCCATTTGGAAAAACGTTCCCAGGAAGTTCATTCCACGTAAACGAAGTTCTCCAAATCAAAGTTCCTCAACAGTGGAGTTCGAGGTGTACTGAGTTGAACCTTAAAACGATTAGCAGCCACACCACAGTCCGTCGCGTATTTCTGATATATAACGCTCTTGGTGGAATCAAATGTGTCAAATCACTTGAACACTTCCCGTGAAAATATCTATAGAAGACAAATCTCCAACCTTTCTTCAATGTTCCAGACTATCAAGGCAATTGATGTTCGCGTCTCCAATCAGGCGTAAGGCTGTTCTCTGGATGGAATCCAGCAGCTTCAGGGTATGCTTAGAGACGGAGCTCCATACATGAGAACAATACTCCAAAGAAAGTCTAATCTGAGCTTTATAAAGCATCAAAAGTTGATGAGGTGTGTACAGTTTTCTGGTTCGGAACAGTGTTCCACGCTTTTTGAAAAGCGGCTTTTGCAATTCCAGCTACATGATTGTCCCAAGACATATTGGTGTCCAATAAACTTATCGAAGCAAGAAGTGGAATTGTCTGACGTGACATTATTATATCCGGTTCGAAGGAATTTATCTTTTTGGAGAAAACCGATGCCTGGGTTTTTGTGTCATTGAATTGAACCTGGTAACTTAAAAACTGTGAACAGGCACAAAGCCAACTGGCATGAAGTCAACCGTTCAAAATTGGAGGAACATTCCAGCTAATCCCCATGGATATCGGCCTGCTAATGTAGCTTGGAATGATTTGGAACATTTAACCAGAACAAATTAATCGTAATTTTGATCATTATCTATTTGGTTTTTTTCAAAGTTAATCTTCTCTTCATGTCTTGCGATATGAGCTTCATCGATATGAACGGGATATGAACCACCATTGAAATTTCGATTTGTTATCGAACAATGGACAGTTATTTGTCGCATTTCTGTCAGCTTCATAGCAAGAAAAGACTTGTTTGATAACGTATTTCCTCAAAAGAAGTACATATACCAAAAGGGGACCAAGTTTAAGTGAAAAAATAATGGCCACAACCCTCATATCTCGTTGGGTCGACCAGCATAGACTAAATTATCAAAATGGCATGTAGATTTTCTTATTAATTATGATATCCAACCCCCATTGAGACACAGCGTCTTTTTTCGTTCACTAATTTCCATTCGATGGTTTCTATGGACCTTTTCAAAATCTTCGAACAATTGAACGTTGTGTTTTTTACATTTTCCTAATAAATTCGTTAAGGAAACCTTCAATGAAAGTATTCTGTATATACACATACAATGGTACTTGCTCATGATAACATAGGCAACTTTGGTTTGATGGATAAAAGATGAAACAATATTGCGCTAACAAACCTGATAGAATTCAAAACTTGCTTGTTTAGAAATAACAGCAACACTGAGTACCACATCAATAACAGTACACGAGGCACTCTTGATACAAAGGGTGAAGGGTATTGGCTTACATTTTTTTGCAGAGTTACCTGTTTGAACGATGGCAAACAGTGAGTGTTGATAAAGTATTTAGTGGTGGTTAAATAATTCATTATGGAGTACCGTAGGGTACAGTCCCATACTTTTCAATATACGTTAATGGACAGTTGTTAAAAAGTTGAGGAGAAATAATTGGTTTTGGCGATGGTAACACTATATTCTACAAATCTGATAGCTGGGAAAAATTTGAGGGTAATCTTAAATTCGATTTTTGCTAAATATAAAAACGGGTTGATTATAGGCTTCTTTGAACTGATAGGAAAAAGACTCCCTACTAACCATTCAGTTGCAACTCTTAGAACTACCAAAATGTATCACCTCGCATACAAATGTTAGAACTGAAAACACTTCAATCTGTTCATTGAATAAAATGAAATATCTATGAGTTATATTTGACAATCAGTTGAAATAGGATTCCATTCATAACAAAAAGTGCCACAGATAACGTTTCTCTACCAAGCACCAAAATTCACCAACAAAACCACAGAAGAAATAAAACGTCTATTCAAACTTGCCAAAGAAAAATTTCAACACAAACTTCACGATTGAAGCCACAAACCTTGAAGAGTGAATGATGAGTCACCTCTATAAAACGCTTAGTAGAAACACTTGGAGAAAAATGAACATGATATGGAAGCAGAAATATAAGGCAGAAATGTATTACCTGTAGTTACCCCTTGGTCAACACACATCCCTTTTTTAGCGGAAGTGTATGCATAATCTTGCAGTGCTCAAGGAATATTAATTTTCGAAATGAGCGGATGAATAACAAGTACAAACGGTCTTTGTGCTACTTACAGCCAAGAACAGTAGACCTCCAACCTCAGTAGCACACCATTCCGGACACAGGCTTGCAAGCTGCAAGACAGTCTTTATCCCCCGACGAAGCTTTTGTTATGTAATAGCCAGTTATGTAACAGGAGGAGCATTGGCCATATGCGCCTGAAGATAGGAAGCAACGACCATCCAAAATACAAATTGTAGAATTTATGATGTCTTTACTCCAAACAATTGTGTTTTTTTAAGCGGTGATGAATGTTCATTTTTGCAAGTTGTCAGTAGATGACGTAGACATTATTTTGAAATATATTCCTTCTTACATTATCAACTAACGGTTTGTTATATTTTTTGAGCAAAATTGAAAGTGATATCAAGGTATATTCGCGGGGCTACAGCATTTCAATTTGTATTCAATCACGAAATAAAAACATATGGTGAACTCCTTTAGATGAATTGCAATGGCATTTTTAGATCTGTCAAACGTTTTCTTGTTTTCAGAATGTCTCCAACCGAATTCTCTAACTACATCAAGCAGCGTGCAATGCAGCAGCAGATCCATCAGCCGCCTCCTCATCACTCCCCAGCAAGCCGCGCCTTGTCTCCGGATCCATCAGCGTACTACTTCCCCCACAACCACTATCCACCTCAGTTTCCCCCTCGCTCCGTATTCGAGTCTTCCAATCAGTTTTTGAGCCCTGACGTGTACTCTGGAAAACTTCCCTTCGAGCACTCTACACCAGTAGGTCCCTATTACCCCAACAATGGACCCGTTGGAGCTCCGCAGTCTGCTCCAACCACTCCCCAGGACAACGGAAAGCTTTTGGACAACAACTGGCCCTACCCTTCTGCTGGACAGTATCAACATCTCCTTGTGGCCAACTGAGGATCTTCATAGGCAAGGGATTTTTTAGTATCAGATATTTGCACTCACTTGAGGGGGATCTGAGGTTGGAGTATACACATTGAATCATTAGGGAAGGGTCAACTAATTGAATGTAATTTGCCTTGTTGGAATCATTTATGCTTGAGGCTGGACCTCAAAGTCAAAAAAATTTATTAATAATTTGTTTGACAAATAATAAATAATATGGTATAAAATGATCAATGGTTACATTGTCAAAGCAATCTAGAAATATGAATAGCACAAAGACAGGTTTTAATGTCTTTTGATATTGGGAATTCTACAGAAGAGTTGACTAGTGTTGCATTAACCTTTTCGAAAATTGTTGCTGTTTTAAGTAACGATGAAGTAGTTAAGTATTAAGTAACTACGTCAATCTCTTATTTGATAATCAATCAGTGTATACAATCAACCCACAATTTCAATCTAATCGCAGATATTCTCCATTACCAACACATAAAAGTATGGCAATACTAAATTGTTCAATTAGTTCATAAGTTGACACTTCTTAAATAGGTGTTTGTGTGTATTTACCTCATTCAATATTATATCTTCTCGGGCGATTCTACTTTTCCATTTTGTGGTTTTCTTTTCTATTCCAACCAGACGTATCACCAAAAATACAACACTCTGAACAAGGGACTGAATTAATGATATTGCTTGAAATATGTCAAATAATATAATGCAAAGGAAGATTGCTGGATAGTAAAGACAAATTTTTATTTCGTTCTATAATAGTGGATATATGTCTATGTATGAGTGGTTAAGTAACATATGTTTCATCCAAAAATTAAAACTAATTCGTTTATGCGACAAGAGAGATTTTCAATTCAATGAATGTTTCTGTTTGTTTTCTATTTCTGTAGATAAATTATTAAAGTTGCTAGGAAAATGATTAGGTGAATTGTATATAATAGTTTTAGTTTTGATAAAATAATCTAATATCTAAACATTAGAGATGTTAATATTGGAAAAAATCCACTTAGAAAAATATTTCTGATCTCTAACTGTTGAATTATTTGTAAATAACCTAATTTATATTTTTTGTATTGACAATGTTATAAACTAGTTAGTCACTTTTCTATTTTTGATACTTGCATAATAATTTAAGTGAACTATGTTTGTCTGGCACAAACTAGTGGATTCATTTCCTGATTTTTTTTCCAAAGAGTTATTAAATAATTGTACGAGTTCACTCAAAACTTTGAACGAGTGAATAATTGCTAAATATTGTATTATTTATGCAACCCAATGGGTCTTAGATGCTTCCTCTTCTCAAATAAGAGAGGTAATGTGCTATTTTTTACTGCTTGATTTTTGTTACTTTTTCACTGATGTTTATTTTTATTTGTATAAACTTGTTAACTTAATATAATATATATTTTGTTATGAGCCGATGGTTTGATTGCACTATGTTATTTTTATCCGTACCTGAAGTTGTTACTATATCATTAAATATTAATTGCTATCTTAGTAGCTAATTTGTTATTAATCGTAAGTACAGATCTTTTCAACGAAAAATCAAAATTTATTATGAAACGCTTATTTCACCATAATATTAAATTAAACAATTTCATCTGTCGTTTACTCAAGTCCATACTATACTCTAAACTATTATATACCTATAACCAGTTGAAACATTAAATGAAAAATAATTTCTGGAAACTAATCCTTTTTTTAATCATCTAGTAGTCTTAGTAGTTGAGTACATTTACTGAGTAGCATGAAATATACATTTCAGATAGCTATAAGTATAAAACTAACATGATATAGGTAATATAAAACTAGGATACTGAAATGACAGCTGAAATTGTGAAGTATAATGTTTTGAAAGAAAATAACAAGAAAATTTACCTGAAATTTTCGAAATGTGATTGATGCTTTAGAATAATCACTCCAAGTGATACAAAATTCAACAAGTGATATTAAAAATTGGTCAACAAATCTGAAAGTAGTTGAACTACTCGGCGTTGCATGAGTATAGTGCATGTCTCTTGCAAAAAAATGTGGAAGTAGTGTTAGTGGATAATATTGATCATTTCTGACATGTTAGTTTTAAGTGTAAGTAAAAATCAACCACTTCATTGACATAATCTATAAAAATAAATATCCAAGTCAAGTGGAGGTAATAAATTCCAATATATAATAATAATATCTGCAAATACATTCTAGGCAAACATTTGAAAAAGAAGTCATCATAAACAACCAAGATGGCAAAGATGCGATAACATCCTTTTCTCAGATATTCTTCTGATGACGCTAATATAAAAACAGTAACTCAATTTATTTCGAAATTTCTGTGGCAAAATAAACTCTGGTTTGATGCCAGGGGGATATAAAAAAAGGTGGTTTATGAAACGCTCATCAGGAAGAGTATCATAGTTCTGGTGAAATTTTTCTGTTGGAAATGATCTTGTTTTAAAAAAATTAAAATGAACAATTTTCCTTCATCAAATGAAATGAGGAATAAGTATATACACTTCATTTCTGTATTAGCAAAAGGGTGAAAACTAGAGAAACATGTGATAAGTAATGCTGGACAAGGAAAAGGAAATTTTAAATTTTCAAGAATAATTTACTTTGTAGTGAACCGAAATACCAAGAAATTGAAAGTGTAAAATTTTAATTGAACTTGTACAAGTTTGTGATAAGTAATTTTCCTATATTTGAACATTTTTAATAAGTCATCAAAAAAAATAATTTATGAATGCAATCATATAATTAAGATAATATCAAATCACATGAAATTTGCTTAGAAATTATGACTGTTTGATTGTTTGTAAAGATTCTAACAAAAAGATCTGGTAAATACGTCCACCAATAATAAATTGTACCTTACAGTAATAATTGAATTCTAGTTTTGTCTTGTGTGGCATCAAAACATGAAATTTTGGGTATAAATTTGTACTGCACATCAATTGTTTCTTCATTGGGTTGTGAAGATCATTTCAAAACCAAAAGTAAATATCCGCTTTTAGATACTTACACAATTAATGGAATGATCAATATTTTCAACTCACGAAATGTTTTGTTGAAATCATTCCAACCAGTCAAGATAAGTGTCAATATGATTGTCACAGCATAGTTGTATTGATAGAACTCGTTTATTACTTGATAGTGCTGACCAATTGACATGTACAACCAGTTTAGACACATTATTTGGTGATGAAACAAAACACGAATGAGTGAAAAAATGTAGATAAAAATTCGATATCAACTGTAGTAGTTTGTTTTACTGAATACTTCAATATATTTAGCACAATTTGGTAGTAGTGAATTTTTGAATAAATCAATACACTGATTATGGAAGTTACTAGTTAGATATTTCCCTCCACGTGATAAAAAGTATTTTTTTAAGCTTCAAAGTGGCGTCTAAACGCTAAGAGGGTTTTTAATACGGGATAATATCTCCATTATATAGTGGTAAGATATTCGCCAATGGTGTATGCGTTACCTGTGAAGACACTTTGGTTTATCAAGATATCACTTTGTTTTTGAGGCGACTGGTTCATGCTGATGTTTTTTCGTGAAATGTGAATCAAATATTAGCTGTAATTTTGAACACAAAAATCTTTGATATCTTAATATATCCACCAGTCGCAAGCTACACAATGTACATGATTCATAATAATTATAGATTACTCAATTATTTTGTATACTTGCTTGTAAGTACTTGCATTTTATCTAAGATTTGTATATAATCCAACATATTCGTTGTTTATGATCCATGTAATCTTGTAACCATCATATATATACCAACATAGAATTTTTATAGATTAAACATACAGCCAGTTTTTTCTGGCAGATAATGGGTTACCAAGCGCCTCTTTGAAGTATCATTCAAATGCAGTTTCAATATCTGTGTTTGCAAAATCAATGACAAGTCCTCGTTCTCAGGAAGGATTCAATAGTTTCATAGATGGCAATTGTAACCCCATTTCATTTCAAAAGTATATAAGAAATAGGAACTGATAAACGAACCAAGGAATGTGATGGTTTTTTTACAATTGTAAAACTCAACAATGTTCAGAATCTGATAGAAAAGAAGTGTTTTGTCGTTGCAAAATGAATTTAAAAATGACTAGAGACCAGAGAAGTCAGTTGAGAGTGCAGTTTCAGGGCAGGCCCATTAATGTATGTAAATGTCACTATCTGTGTTAGTTTGTTACATCTCTAATTCACTAAATTACTATTATTGTGACTAATACGTAGTAAATTCATTCTTATTATATTAAATATAGTGAGAAAGGGTTTTTCCATCCCGTTAATGAATAAGGAAGTAATATGTGTATAATAGTCTATAATTTTTCATATTGTTGTACGATTTTTAAGTTTATATTAAAATGTTTGTGCATTCAGAGTACAAGGTATTTTCAATTCGAGTCCTGTCTAAAAAAAATTAGGGCCAGTAGTGTAGTTATGCTCTGACAAGTGTGTCATCGAGACATAAAGAATATTTTCACATTTTGAAGATTACTCTTACTTCAGCAATGACCTTTGATAGGTTCAATGAAATGAAAGGTTGAAATGGAACCTCTGGCGTAGAATAAATCCAAATCAAGTGAACAATACTTGTTTCGGATTTATTCTACACCAGAGAATCCCATTCTAGGTTGTCATTTGATTTGATCGTTAATGAAATGTGAAATAATTCTTTCATAGGCGTTTTAATATATTTGTTATACACTAAATGAAGATTTCGGAATATTAAACTCACCTTAATAAAGCAGTACTTAGGCCAGGGCAGGATTTAGGGGAGACCCTAAAGTTAGGCTGAGATAAATATTCTTCAATTCAAAGATGTAACTGTTGTTTCAAATATCTCAATTATTTTTACTTTCACTTATTTCATTCAATTTCAACTACTGAAGTTAGGGGTCCGATGAATTTTGCAGTTCTAGGAGGTCAAAATTAAATGCTGAAACTCTAAAATGATATCTTGTCTGATTTTCCCACAAAAGTAAATATTTTCTTGGCAGATTATAGGAAGAATAAAAATTTCAGTTTTTCAGGAAATAATTTTTCCTCCTAAGGTCAATATTTTCTGAAAAGTAATACATTGTCATTGGATTATAATTATATTATGTTTTTCCAGAAAAACATGATTTTTCTTTAAATCTCGAAAACACGATGCCCATTTGATTTTTGAATGGAAGTGGCCCAATAATTGATGAGAATCCACCAGAACACACTTTGGTTTATCAAGATATCACTTTGTTTTTGAGGCGACTGGTTCATGCTGATGTTTTTTCGTGAAATGTGAATCAAATATTAGCTGTAATTATTGTGTTAGATGACATCATTGATGCTAATAAAAATAAAATAAGTAAGTATATTGATTTTGCTCGACTACTCAAAAGCATTCGACCTAATGAATCATTAACATTATCCTGTTAATGTTACACTATTTAGGCGTATACGTTAATGACTTCATACTCACATAATAGAACACAGTTGGTAAAACTGGATAATGAAGTGTCAACATGTCGAAATTTTTTTTCAGGTGTCCCTCAGGGGAGCATCTTAGGGCGACTTTTTTTTATCTACACTATATGCTTCAAATTGTGTAAATGTTTGAAGATATTGTGCATCATTATGCGGAGGTTACTCAAATATATTATTTTTTCAATCTAATAGATTTCGAGTTATTAGTAGAGCTTATCAATGATGATCTTAGTTCGTTATATATAAAGTTTCAACTGATCATGCTCTGAAAATAAATCCAAAAAAATCAGTGGCTTCAATATTTAGCGATACAAATGTATTAAACTGTTTTGAAAGCTCATGTAAATTTAATAATCGGTGATGCAAAAATACCTATAGAGTCAGCACATGAAAATTTAAGATTGACAATCGATACATCTCTGCGTTTCAGAGAACATGTTACTAAATAAATTAAAAAATGCTTTTTCTTCTTTGAAAGCAATCTACTTTCAAAGGCAATATTTATCAGATGATATTAAAAAATGCTGGGTGATTCTCTAGTACCATCGCATTTTTACCACCACGATGCAGTGTTTAGCCCTTGCCTTAATTGCTCAAAAATACGTCTTATCTAGAAATTACAGAAATTACAATCATCTGTATGACTCATCTATGGAATTCGTAAATTGGAACGCTTATCAGTTACAGGAAAATTTAAACAACTTAAATGGGTCACTATGAACAACAGTTGACGACATCATATGGCTTGTATGGTCTACAATATATTTACGTCGGGTACACCTCCCTATTTGCACAAAAACGTGAAATTCAGAACTGATGTACACAATCTGAACATTCATCGACAAACAATTCTCACAATCCCAAACCATTCCAAAGAGATATACTGCTGTTCTTTCCCCTACCATGTCGCATCATGCATCAATAATATATTTAAACTTGATAGTTCACTTTTGAATTTATCCAAAAAAGCGTTCAGCCATAAATTCAAAAAGTATTTGCTGGGCATTCAGTAAATCCAACTTAGCACCTGAAACGCTCTCTATTTCATTACTTTTCTCTAGACCTATATTTTCCGTTTCACCTATTGACTATTTTCTACTATTCTTTTGTTTTATTTCTCCCCATTTCAAATAAAATCTGTTGAAAAGCATTCACCTAAATTGTAATTCACAACTTTCTTGGAACTGGTGGAAGAACAGAAACAGTGCACAACTGCCAGCCGGACGATAGATTTTCACTTCCTATCGTCCAACCAGTGTTAATAATCACACGTTGAAAGGTAAGACCTTGTTAGTCCTTAGCTCGCACAAGTTTCGACGTTCGTTCCTAGGAGGGCAACAGTGGGTTTACAGAAAAACAGATTTCAACAGATATGAGGAAACTTTTGTTGGAAAAAGGAGACGTTACAGAAAGGTAGATTTGATGAACTGTTTTCTGTTATTTACCTACGTTTATTCACAATTGTGATGACTAACAATATTTGAACACTGTATTATTTTCATAGATGTAAGATGAAATTGATTGAAATCCCTTCAAGAATAATTGTGGTAAATTTAACTATTCTCTGAATGACATTCCACCTGTGGTGAATGTGGACTTCATAACGTATACTGAACAACTGATGAAAGACTTCAAAAGTATTGAAGCTCATAAATATTCTACCTCCGAATTTGAGTTGAAAGCTGTCGCGATAGTTATAAGTGATTTAACGTATTGGTTGGAGTTATGTTAGTGCACATTTAAGGTTCTTCAATTACGAAATCATTCAAAATATTATTGATGTGTCACAAAGGAAAAAGTGTGATGGATTACATTTATGTTGATAGTTTAATTCGGCTTGAAAACAGTACTGAAAATACATTTATCTTTTTTCAATATTCTGATGTTTCGCTAAACGATTTTTCAGTCGTCACAGTACAGTCAGAGAATAATCCATCCACATCACTATTTTCAAGTGTGAAAGTATCCATGAACTGAAATAGTTTCAACATCATCTCATACCTATGAAAATAATGTTCAAATACCGTTAACCAGCACAAGTTGTAAGTAAATGCAGGTTGTTAAAAAAAATAATGAAACAGCTCATCAAACATTTTGTTTTTCCAATATTGACTCCTTCCTGTAATCATTCTGCATTACCGAATGATTGTGGACAATCAACAAATATCCGTGAAACACTTCAAAATATGAACATTTTAAAATACCCAACTAGCAGAACACAAGTCAAACAATAATTAACTATCTTGCATAAAGTAGTTGTGTGCCCTACAGGCGCCATTATGGTTTGGAATGTAATGGTGAATACTTAATTTGGATAATACTTTGAGCATATTTGTCATAAATTTATCTATCATGCCTCATGGCCCTCGATAGAGTTACCTTCAAACATTGTGAAAGGTTCCTCTGTATTCATGTGAGACACAAAGTTATAGGAATGTATCTACACTAGAAAAATAAAATTTTTTGGAGATAATTATCAACAAAGATCAATTAGTAATTATAACTTTGAATGAGAAAACAACATTATGAAAAATCTTCTTTAACTCATATATTCTCTGAGTCATACAAAAGAAATAGAGAAGGACAAGGTGCAGAAATCATACTCAAGTGACAGGTAAGTCTGATAGAATCAGACTCAATTATATATGATGGAATTGGTCGATACTTAATGAAAATCCAGAATTTACGTATTCAAAAACACTATTGTGATATTTTTACTAAATGATTTTACAAAAACGCAAGACGTGTTGCGTTTTTGTAAAATTGTTTAGTGAAAAAAACAACACGCGTTGCGTTTTTGTAAAATCGTTTAGTGAAAATCTCACAATAATACGTCAGACTCAATTTTCAAAAATTTTTACTAGCCTAGTCACAACCAAAAAATTAAAATTTGTTTCTTAAACTTTATTTTATTATTTACATAATTGAGTTGTTTCACAGATGATAAAAACTATTACTGGAGAATATTGCGCAGTGTGAAAAACAAATAAATGGTAATTTGAATAAACATTTTCTGTTTTTCAAATATCTTTTTTGAAAAAACTAAAAAATTCACATTCCTATGAATATAGGAAAAACATCATATATACAATTTCAATTTTATTATTAATGTTCTTAAAAAATACCAAGGTATTTGATGATATATTTCATCATAGGCACAAAACAATATAATGGTATAAAAATTATAAAGTATCAATTGCTCAAGAAATCCTAAATTAAAAATTGTTTCAATGAAAAGAAATTACAATCTCTTCCATCAGAAGGGATGAGCACTAATAGTGTGTGCTCTAAGATCTTTTGGTAAATCAAAGCCCATGCTACATATGGAGCATGAAAACAAAGCTGACTTGGTTGATGGGGTAGGTACAATTCGTTGTTTCTCATGTACTTTCAGATGAATAGTTAGAGAGTTTTGTTTATCAAACACTCTGTCACACTGAGTACATCTGAATTCAGTCTGAACATACTCCTTGTGATACTGACGAATATGTGCTCCCAAGGTATCTGACCTACTGAATCCTGCGGTGCAATATTTGCAAGGGAAGTTTTTGCCGAACTTTGGTGGACTTCCTGAAACGTTCAGTCTCTGTTGGGATTGATTCAGTTTTTGTGACGTCATTTGACCCTGATCCTGCTGCCTCAACATACTTTGTTCATGCTGCTTCTGCCTTTCAAGAAAATCGTGCAACCGCTTATGGGTTTCGTACTCGTCTTGAGTATTGAAATCTTTATTGCAAGTATTGCAACGAGGAATGAGCATGATGGCGCTGACACTTCTGTGTTTTTCCAGAATGTGAACTTGCAAAGCCGTATCATTTGGCAATTCGGCTAGACAAGTGACGCATTGGAACTTTGGTGATTCATCTGAAGGTTCTTGCTTTATTTTTATGCTCTGAGCCAACTTGTCAATGACTTTATTTTGTTTCATCAATTTTGTGTTTGAATCATTTTGACCACGTTTATGCCAGCCAATGTGTGTTGTCAAAGCTGAAGCTGTTTGGAAACTCTTGCCACAGATGTTACAGGAAAATTGTTCTCTCATTTTGATTTTTCCAATTTTGGGTTTGGCACCCTCGTCATGTTCCTGTTGCATGTGTTTTGTTAACGAAACTAGTGAATCAAATGAAATTTTACAATATTTGCAGAAAAGATGAGCTTGTTTTTGATTAGAGGGTCTGGTTTCTTGAATATGCTTCTCTTTATGTTTTTTCAAAGCCACTTTTGACGGGAAAGTCATCACACAAACGTCACATGTAAAGACAAAAGGGGCAGCTTCCCCATTTTCGTTCAATAGAGCTTCACCTTCGCTATGACATTCCTCTTTATGTTTGTCAACTTCTTCTATGGTATTAAACACTTGCTGACAGATGTTACAGTTTGGTTTGCGTATAATCTTTTTACCAGATGGACTGGTATTTATTCCATGACACTTCATGTGGTTTTTCAAGTTATACTTGGAAGAAAATACCTTGAAACACCTTTTGCATGTATGATACGATTCCTCCTCAGCAGAGGAGTCATTCTTCTTTACAGCTTTGCTGACATTAACCTCAATCTTTTCGTGAATGAGTTTATGTCTGTACATTGCTGCACCAGTTGTACATACTTTATCGCAATACTCACACTGTTTTGGAAAAGCATTGGACGAGGGTGTTTTCCTTTCGGGGTGAATTCGTTTGTTATGGTCCCATAAGCCTGAATAAGTAGAGAATTCTTTGTCACAGAGGTCACATTTTCTTGTCTTTTTATCGTTACATGTGGAAGATTCAGCTGAAGCTTCAGATGCGTTATCATGTGTCAGGCGATGATCTTCTAATTCTTCCTTGGTGGAGACTATTACATCACATATTTCACAAGTTAGAGAATGTTCCTCGTCTGACCCTGGACTCATAACAGCGCTTCTATATGACTGAGTTTTGGAATCTCTATAAACTTTCAAATTCAAATGGATAGTTCTATGTTGTTCTAATTCTGTCTGGAACTGGAAAGATTTGCCACATTCATTACAAACTTTGGATTCATGTTTTTCTAACAGATGACTCTGCCATTCAGTACTGTTGTACATGCCTCCGCAATCGGGACAGGTGTAAAATGATTCTTCCTCTTCGTCTTGTGATGCTTCTCCTTGTTCAGTTGAGTGTACTTTGTAATGGCGCATCATATTTTTATAAGAGGAATATTCTTTGCCACATATGGGACATTTCTTGTTGTTAGCTTTAGAAGTCAATAAAACAGGATTTATAACTTTGACTGCAGAAGAACTTCCATCAGTTTCAATTATGGGTGCTCTAACAGAAGCTCTTCTCTCTCTTTTTCCACTGAGAATAACTCCATCTGCAGCCTCTTCTTTAGGAGATACATGCATGAGAGGTTTTCGCATTTTGTAGTTATCATCTTGGAGCAAGATGAATCCCTCTGAATTATCATGAACATTACATGCGTGTTTCTGAAAATCGTCCAAGGTTTTTGTGGTTACGAAGCATATGTCACAATAATAATCTACCATGCAGCTCACATACACATGATCTTTATAGTTTTCAAGGTTATCCAATACCCTCTGACACTTGCATTTGAACGGAAATGATAAAGCGGAATGATCCTCATCAACGTGCCTGCAAAAGTCCTCATGGAAACTAAACATGAACTTGCAAATGGTACACTTGAAATTTTGGTAAAGCCTGGTTTTAACATCGCTTCGTTTACGCAAGTTACTCAATTTTGTTATAGTATCAAATTGCTGAGAAGGGCATCTCACCATGTGTCTGGTGAATGTAGAACGATCGGTGAATGTTATCATACAATTATAGCAAGTGAATACTGGGAACCATATTCTCAGTGCTCTCAGATGAGATAAGAGACCTTTGAGATTCTGATGTGGTACATTATGACAGGCACAGATCAGAGTTTGATACATATTAACCATGGCTTTACATTTTTCTATATAACTCAATTCTATTTTAGACAGGGTTTCGCAAGAAATCGGAGTTGCATTCTTTCGCAGTAATTTTAAGCCGGCTGCAAACTGTGTCTTCTGTAGCTCAGATTCATCAGCTGTTGGTGACTCCATGATTGAAGGGTCGACACCATCCTCGCCTGCAAATCCTGAAAAATAATAATATGAATAAATTTTCATACTTTACCTTTATAAACAAGATAGAATCACAAGATGTCTATACACTAGTGGTTGCTGGTATGCGCCTCTGTTTCAGAAATTATTTTAGACCAACATTTCTATTTATTTTAGTCATCAATTGATCCTTTGTAGATTATGTTGCCCATACTATTTTTACTTAGAAACAAATAAGTGAGGTTATCTCAAAAATATAGGTAAGTTGTATTTCTTCCTCTTTTCTGTTATTTATGATTCGGTTAGTTTATTGAGTACAATCATGGATTTTTATTCAAATAACACTTTATTATTGTGAGGTTTTCAATGAACAGTTAACAAAACCACAACATGTGTTTCGGTTTTGTAAACTGTTCAGTGAAACTGTCACAATGAAGTGTTGCTTGAATATGTTATGGATTTTTATCAAATATCGCCCAATTCCATAACAATCATAAACTTGATAAACACCGGTGATAATTATAGATTCTTAAAAACAAAAGTATTTCAAAGAAATCGTGGTAAATATTCATACATATGCATACATAACCTCAAATATTTTATGTCCGTGTCATCACAAATCCACAACTAGCTTTCAATATCGCCACGTTATAGAATTCGAAAACTCTACCATCATGAAAAGCAATATTGACAGTATCTGATGTTACTTTGGAATTGGTTGATAAATTTGCATGAAAATTATACACAAAGTTGATACACCAGTGTATAGGCATCTTGATTCACAACCACTTTACTTGAAAGATATCAAACTATTGCACACATAAGCATTTGAAAAGTTCAGACCAAAAACATGCATAGGGGTGCAGATATTCTAATTTTGACCTCACGTTATAATACATGTATCCAACCTCAATACTTTCCCTGATTTTTTTACTCTCAAGTTTCAAAGTTTCACATCTTTCTGGACAATCACAATTTAAATATCTATGCTTTTTTGAAATGCAGAATTGGATCATATTCCAAAAATGAAATCGGCATGTGATTTGAAGACTATTGGTAAAAAATATTACTGGTGCGGTTCGGCGAAAAGGAGTGTAACGTCACCAGATATACGAAATTCGAAGCTGGCTAGGAACCGTCAGTAGTTTCAGACATTTCGATATAAATGGTGTTTAATTAGTTTCTGTTGGTTTGAATGTCTATGATGTACAAGTATGGAGGATAAATAAGTACCAAAACAGTATTGTACTGAGCCTACCCTACTCGAAATTGCTTGTAACTATTATCAAAAATAAAAAAACAAAGCCTTGCAAATAGCAATGAGAAGAAAGGAAATGAACATATTTTTGTTGCGAGAATCATTCTGATATAAGTGCATTACATTTATTTTGAAGTAATAATAAATGCATTTATACTATTCAATTCATTATCTAAACATGGCTACCAATACACTGACATATATCGCTTCATTATTTCTCATAGTTACAAAAAAATTCAATTTGAAAAATTACACGACAGAAACACTTTTAACCGTTAAATTAGCTAATAAAAACTCAGGCCCTATTCTTCCATTGGTTATGTAATATAATAATCACATTAAGTGCTTCAGATGCTGTACCAATAAGCGCACATATCTCGTGACGTCACACCAGTTTTCGAAAAACGCGCATTTTGAAAGTCGCGTATCTTGATTCGAAATGTTTGTCATTATAATCTGAATGACAACCACAAAAAAATTAGACTGAACAACCGTAATGACTGATTTGTTAAGATACCAGAAAAAGGATACTTCTTTATGTATAATAAGGAACTGAGAAAATAAAATACAATAAGCACTACATTTTTGATACTTCACTTTTGACATGCCTTGATCAAAAATATGGTTTCAAAGAACACTACACTTTATAGTAAAAATGCCTCAAGCACGTAAAAATTTCTAATTCTCAAGGTTCTGAAGTTTCTATTACGCATCTTGAAATAAGCATCATGGTCTATAGCTTTTTAGTAGTTTTTGTCACAATTTTATTCACATTTGAATCTTAGATTGTAAATAAATACTATTATTACTTTCATGAGATGTATAAGGAATATAGTTCTGTTCCAAACATACCATTCACTTGTTCTGTAGGAGCACCTAGTACTTCGGATTGATATAGGCCATGCATCTTCTTTTCGTGTTTTTTTCTATTGCCTACACTACTGAATGGTTTGTTACACACGCTACACAGTTTATTGACGTCGACGGCTATATAATAAAGAAATTGAAAATAAGCAAAAAATCAAAATAAACACAAAACGATAAAAGTAAATATAAATTACAAAAAAAAAGAAACGAACAAATAAACCTAATAAATAAAAGTATAAGTATGAAATATTGAGGACAAAATAATGGCTTCTTCAAGACCAAAAGACACTCCACTCTTTAAATGGAGATAATTGTTCGTTTCATAATTTTCCTTGAAATGCTAGCAGCTAATAAAAGTCAATGAAAGACATGCAAATTCCTTACAAACTGAATAGTTATTTGAATCAATGTGAAGCACTACTCACCAGCCACACCATTCTGTTGATCCGTATCAAGGAGATGGGGAGAAAGTGCTGGAGGTAACTCATTGTATTCTTCTTCCATGGATTCTTCAATTTGATCCAATGGCTCATTTTTGACCTGGATCATTTCAATACGCATTGTTTCAGGTGTTTCATGTGGAACAGTACCGTCTTCCATGGTTTCATCTGTATCGCCCATAGGTTCTTCTGAGGGTTCTTCTTTTATTTGAAGATTCTGCAATGTAAATTATAAAATAAAAAATAATTCTTCAAAGACTAGGAGTCTTTTTCATTGTATTCTCAATTATTAATTTCACAATTAATACATAAAATGTTTCTAGACGATCTAAGCTTATCAAAAATTAATTTACAATCGGATTTACTTACTATATCTCCAATTCCATTCATATGTACAGTTTGATAACTGTCCATCCTTTCTTGTAGTTTGATTTGGTTTTGTGTACATTGTTCCTTGTAAACGTAAAAACCAATAACTTTGGTAATACATTCTGTGCAGACAACTGTGATCTTGTCTGTGGCGCTTATCTGAAATGAAAAAAAAAAATAGAATCACTGTTACAAATGATGTCTTGCAAAATCAAATAATCGCATATTTTATATTAGCTAGGTAAGAATTGCTCTTCTGCAAGTCATTCATGTATTTATTTAATTATTGATTAAACAGAAATACAGTCAAATTTATAGTTGTGAATTTGTACTGGTAATTCAATAAAGGACAACAATTTGAGCTTCAGTAGGAAGTTTTGTGATTAAATGTAGTTGCCAAACTTTTTTGTGTGTGTTTCTAAATTTACTACTGATCATAAACATATCCTAAAATGATACATTTAGCACAAACCAACCCAGACAGACACAATTATCAATAACCATTCTAATCGCCCTTATCAACATAAACTAGTATCCTTATGTCAATAGGGAATTTCAATAAAGAACTGAATGGCAGATGGCAGTAAATAACAACTTTGATCCTGACGTGATTCATCACATAGACAAAAAAAACAATTCAAACAAGCCGTTAAACAAGTATACTCTCACATAAAAGATAACACTTTCAAAACAAAGACTTAGGAGTATACAGGAAAGGCATCAGAAGAGATAAGTAGACTACTAACTAAACAAAACATAAACATGGCATACAAGACTGAAAACACCTCAGGTAGACAGCAAATCCAATATCAACGAGGAGAACAAATCAGGTGTCAACAACTTAGAATATGGTTCGTGTCCAAAAGTTTATATTGAAGAACATCTAGAAATTCCAAAACCAGAATCTCCGACCACAAAAGTTTTGCATAGAAGAAACCCATTTCAACCTATACATTAACATAAACTACGTCGTACTACATACAGAAAGTAACTGGCAAAAATCAACCCTGCTGGAATCCATAGAATTAGTTGAATCATTAGTAACAATAATTTACCTACTTTTAACCTGCTGGCTATTAGTTCTTGAAACAACCTCCTCTAATTGAGATCGATAATTCGTATAAATTGCATTGTAGTGTTGAGTACCAGTCCAACTGAGGAAACTACTATGTAGTGTACTAAATTGCCAAAAACGACTCTCCTTGATAGGAAGACTTAACAGATTGTCTCTGGTCTGGATTCCTGGCCATACTGGCCTGGAAGGCAATGAGGCTACTGACTCCCTTGCAAAGAAGGGTGCTGCAAGCAGCTTCATCGGACCAGAACCTGTCATTGTGTGAGCCACAATAAACCCTTACGGCTTGCGGTGGAGGGTCGAATAGACCCACTCATTTTGGACCTAACCTATCCCTAACTATGTTGTGGGACGCGTATTGGAAATAAAGTATATATTGTGATAATTTGCAATTATCATCATGACGTTATTGAATTTCACCAAATAACGACTTTAGAAACACATAGTCTTGAGGGAAAAAATCGTTCCCATACTTCTCATCACCAATAAATGATACCCTTTATGGACCCTCTTGATCAATCGCAATCGATACGAGTGTTTACTCAAGCCTAGGTAAATAACCGGTGTTCCCATTCACTAGATATATTTCAGTACATTCTCTGACAAAATGATATTATGTATGATTCACTGCGTTATGAATTTTCTTACGCTTATGGATGGATATCCGTGGATAAGTTGTTCCTAACCAGTGACCTCGATGAATATGCTGCCATTCTCATGATTTATCATATATACTCGGTCAGAAGTCGAAACATGTGGTGGCCAGAGTTTGCTGAGAACGCATCTTCAGCTACTACTGTTCTCATTTCGTTTTGATAGGAACTACGTTTAACAAACGAAGAACAGGAGTATAAAACTTGAATTTGCGTTGTTCTTACGTTTCCAAACATTCATTATGCAAATTAGTTTGGATTACTTAGCACCGCATCTGTCTGTTTGAATGCGATAAATTCAAAAACTGCGGCTTTCACCAATAGACGAAGTGGTTCAAGAGACAAGTTTGTGTTCATATCTTAAATGTTTTTTGTAAATCATCGGAGAGAAGTCGAGGCGGAGACGTCGAGCCATTATGGAAAACCATCCCTAATTCCTTTGAGATATAACAAAACAATTTATCACATAGGTCATAGGTCTACAAAAAAGTCCGCGATGACGCATGTCTACTTAAGCGCTTTCATATGATTACATATAATGTGGTATTAAGACCTTTTAACCATTATCAAATAAATCCGTTAGTTACCTTACGCATTTCATGCAAAATTAAAACTATTGCGCGAAAAAATTTATTCAAGTGGCCTCACAAACCAATGCGACACAAATGAAGAAAACAGACTGCAATATCCATGTTAACAATTATAAAATTTTCATAATAAACTCCAATTAAGACGCGTTTCGCTACATGGTAGCTTCATCAGTTGGACTGGTGAACATCAAGTAACGGGCCAGTGTATTCATGAAAGGTTGCCATTGCGTTCGTTTTGTTTTACGCAGTCAATCACACTTTTGTTTTGTGCTATCTTTAAGTGGTACAAGATGGCGTTTACAGATTTTCAGAACGAAGTTTCGTCTCGGAGAAACCGTAAAAAAATTTCAATTTTTTATATGAATCAGAAAAAAGAATCTCCACGTATATAAGTTAGCCGTTAAGGCGACAACTGCACTGATGTATCACCATAATCGTTTAATCAGTTAGGAAACGTAATTTAAATAAGCTTCAAAATGGACATTTTTTTCAAATTTTACCAACTTTGTAGTTCTCAGTTTTCTTTGCTACAAGATGTAAACTCTGAGGTATCTATCATGTCAAGATACTTTACTGAGCTGTAGAAATTTTATTGGTTTTGAATTTGTCATATTACAGGAAATACGAGTAAAACACCTTGCGACCAGACAACTTCCTTCAGTGCCTGTCGAGATCGATAGAAATCTCAAAGTGGTGTTGACACCGTCCGTAGAAAACGGTAAACGAGCACAAACCTCAGTCAGAAGTGTTGACTACTTTCGTTATAAAGACACCACCTACACGACTGTGGACCTTCACAACACCGAAGAAATCATCTGCACCTGGGAAAACATTCAAATTGCAAAAAAAAACTGCAATGGGACTGAGACTAAGTCGAGTTGTTCCCCGAAATGTAACTTGCTAATATTCGTTTAGCTAATACATAGAATGCTTAAGGTACAAATACATTGTTTATTTCCTTCCTCGGCTATATGATGCCGGTAGAACCCTTGTGCAACAGCTAATCAAAACAAATCAAGCAAGAGATAGTGACTGTCAAAATTTTCTACAGGACTAACTTAAAGCTCTTTTTCGTAATGCCAACGCAGAGCTCAAGAATTTGCTTGCAAAAACATGAAATTGTTATGCCATGTTTCAGTTATATAATATATATAGTTTAATATACGTAAGCTTCTCTTCAAATGAAAATCAAGAATCAACAGAGCCCGTAGGGTAAAAGAAAAAAAAATGCATTTTATGCTCAAACGACGAAATTTGGTACACTACTCTCCATTCAAAGAAATGTTGTCACGCATGATTGAGGACTCGTTACAGCGACACAAACGTTGTTTTGAGCTTTTCGAGGTTAAGTATGATGACACAGGATGTCAAATACGGTTTATCAAGTGTGCAGAGCTAACTGTGTAATAATAATGGCAGCTGATAACGAAGGAAAGTAATTTTGAATATTTCTGCTCGAGTGTATTTTAAGAACACTGCTGGCTATAGGTTTTTGGGGTTCAAAAAACGCATACAACGGAAACTCCGAAAAATGCCCACTTAGATTGAAATATTCGAATATGCAGTTAGTCGATTCTTGCCAGCCATAATTTTTTATGCAATAACATTCCAAACAATCGTGTAGATCACCATTGAGCATATTATGGTTTATTTAGGTTCTTCTTTTACACTAAAGCTGATCATATTGCTAGGCTAGTATGCTATACTAGTTTCTTTACCTCTGTCGATAAAATGGATTCACAAATTTAAATTTGCAAGAAAAGGAAACTAAATCTAGGCTGATGAATTTGAGCTACTGAAAAACATTTATAATATTAACTTTTTGAAAGACTCATCTGGCTTCAACAAAATGACATCAGAACTCTAAAAAAACTCAATAATTTATCCCTGCAATGGTCACGTAGGATAATTCCAGGATTCCCATAAACCCCATTGCCGTTTTTAAAGTAGTAGTAGTAGTAGTATATATTTGGTGCTAATACAAAGTTTACACAGGTCATAATAGATATTGCTTATCTATAAATACAAAATATAAAATATTCAGATAACTTGAATGGTTAAATGGACAATTACTATTGATATACATACATTTGTGCAAATAAAACAAACTAACTATGAAATAGAAATATAAAATAAGTTAAAATATATATGATTAAGTGGTATTACATGTCTCGAAAACCATCACTAAAATATTCATCTAAGGAATAAAAAGCTTTTTTAATTAAAAAATTTTTGATTCTGTATTTGAACTCCTTCAAAGGTAGATTTTTGATATTTTGGGGAAGCGAATTATACATTTTTGCAATGTCTGTTAATGAGTTGCCACATAGCTCTAGGTTCATTAACACTATTCCTTATGAGTTATCATTGGCTTGTATTTTTGCATGTGAGAGGGCTTGTCTATATTTCATTCTGTAATTACCTATCAAGTTTTTCAGCTCTGGTCGGTCAGTTTGGCGGTAAGCATCAATCATGAAATTCAGAGTTTCGCGCATGTCACGTAATTTGTTTTTGAACCAATTTAAATGTGGTTTGGTGCTTTTGACCCGCTTTGTTTTTAGCGGAAAAGAGATTTCAATGGCTCTAACTAGCATATCTATAAAATGATCAAATTTTTCGTTTATTGTCAACAAGTGGTCAGAAATGAAGTCCCACTTGATATTTTTCACATGATTATTCAACCTCAGCAAACCTGACTCAGTAATTGGTCTTAAAGTAATAAAGTCTGTCGCGTTCATCTTGTTTTTTGGAAATTTGATAATGATAACAGTACTCATATGATCGGACAGCGATAGATCTAATACATCAGTGGTGTAGTTATTTTGGATTATATTGGTGATGATATTGTCAAGACATGCATTTCCCCTTGTGTTTTGTTTTATTGTGGTATGAAACCCATATGAGGACAATAGATCAGTGTAATATTTTGTTCTCCTGTCATTAGTATTAAATTTAAGATTAAAGTCGCCGTTAATTATGATATTATATTTTGTTTTTGAAAGTCGTTCCAACACTTTAATCATCACATTTACAAAGATATCAAAATCACCTAGAGGGGAACGATAAATAGTAAGAAGCAGTATATTGTGCTTACTAGATTCAAGAGCACATATTTCACAATGTATTTCTGTTGATAATTGATCTATTTCTTCAATTGCCTTATAGAGAACAGAACCAGAACTATCTTGTTTTACCAGTATGATAACTCTACCGTGACTACGGTTCTTCCTGCAAAATATATTAGCAACTGAATAATGCTCATCCAGTGTTCTGTCAAACATATATAGTCATATTGAAGACTAAGAGGTTCCAATTCTACTAGTTTATTCATTAAACACTGGATGTTAAGTTGTAGAACAGAATAAAATTCATGATTGTCGTGGTTTTCATTTCTTGGCTTGCCTATGCAAGTATCAGGAATCATATTGTTAATTGAATTAGAATGGTCATTTCCATCCTTCATATGTGTCATCAGTTCTTCAAAGTTTGTTGGTCCAGATAAGGGTATAAAAAATGTTTTTGTTGATTCTTCTCGTTACCAGTGATTTTTGGTTTATTGATTTGATCATAACTTGTTTGGTGATCCGTAGATTGGGTCATGTTCATAAAATTCACTTGGATATGTTTCAGGAGAGCTTTAGCCAAATACCGCTTTCCAGTGTTATTTAGGCTATACCCATTTTGATGGTTATTTGTACTTCTTAATACAGAATTACAATCAAAGAAATGTGAAAGACTTATTTGTTTGGAAAAAATCTTTCTTATAAACAATAAGTGGTCTTCATAGATCAACTCATTTATTTTTCCAAGGTCATAACGAAAAGGTTAGGATATAACAACAGCATTAGTGTGTTTTGTCTCAAGGATAAATTCTTCATTAAGATGGATATTAGTCATATTTGGCCATAAAAATATGGTATCAAGCTTTGTAAAGTGTTTTGAGTTTAGAAGTGCTGTATTTACCAGTTCCTTATCTATTGCGTTTGGTTTAAGTATTGTCTGTATCTGAAAGTTGTTGGTTTGTCTCAGCAAATTTTTACCTTGAGATCCAGCTACAATTAGTATTTTCCTTTTTGAGAATTTCAATTCATTTCCAGTTTTGAAACTCCCTAAAGTTGAAGTCGAGTCTGTGCATCTATACTGAGTATGACACACATTTCCCATTTGACATGAGGTTTTATTATTCCTGTCACTGACTTTTCGTGCTTGGGTTAATGTTTCATACATTTGTGTTTGTATTCCCTTATCACTATAACATACTGAAGGAGTTTGAGTGGAGAGTAAAGGGTATTTATACTGTGGATGTGGTGCGAACACTCCAACATGATGTGATTGAGATCGCCATAACGTCCACATGAGCATAGAGGATTATCCGTTAATACAATTTTGAATTTGTAAGCTGGGCAGATAGTGTGATTTGATCGTAAACGGTATAATTATCAAGGGTTGCCTTGGAAAACAATTACAGCATTTAATAAACAACTTGAGAGTTGTTGTCAACTTTATAAGCTTTTAATTTATAATTGTTATAAAAAGTGTGTTTAGTGGTTATTTTTCGAACTATTTTTTTAAAACATGGTTCAATTTACTAACAATGAAATGGCAGATATGCATTTCTGTTATGGAATGGCTCACGGAAACTCGAATGTTGCAAGACGCATTCACCATGAAAGATTTCCTCAGCGTGTAGTGCCTAACAGAAGAACTTTTGTATGTGTCCATGCACGATTTTCTGAAACAGGCAGCTTTAAAAGATCGACGGTTGTCTGTGGGAGGCCTGCAACGGTACGAACAGTTCAAATTGAAGAAGCTGTTTTAAATGAGATTGAAGTAAATCCTCATTCCAGTACTCGGAAAATAGCTGAAAAACTGAATATTACCCATGTCACAGTGTGGCAGATTTTAAAAGCCCAGCAGCTATATCCCTATAACATGCAACGTGTGCAAGCTCTATTGCCCAGAGATTTGCCTGTAGGACTAGCTTTTTCTAATTGGTTACGCGGTAAAATAAGAAGAAATCCAGGTTTCCTAAGTCGAATATTGTTTACAGATGAAACTTGTTTTTCTCGCAATTTAATTATTAACTTCCACAACAATCACATTTGGGCCGAAAACAATCCACGCGCCTTTAACCAAATGTGCTCTAGCACACGCGCCTTCAACCAAATATGCTTTAACACATGTGCTAAAGTGCTTCAGCACATTTGAGATTAACAATGAGGAGGAAGTAGATATTAATATAATTCCTGATGAACTCAATACATATTTTGTAGAAAGTATCAATAAATTAGTAGAAAGAAATACATATTGAGACACAAGATGAAATAAGGATACAAAACACTGCAAAAGAACATTTGAGTGATTTCAAATTGATTAGTTTTGAGAAGCTACATGATATATTGTTGACAATGAAAAATAAAGGTAGCGATGATGATCTAACAACGGAATTCCTAAAAAANACTTTTGTCTTTACATTTTAAGTAATTATTGTTATTTGTTCAAAGTTCTATTTTCGTTGAAAAGGACACAATGTCTAATTTATCTCATACACCATTTATCAAATTTTGATTGTCGATTCTGTTTCCGTATTTTTTCATTAGTTTTTCAAACGAACCAAACTTGGTGAAATTTTGATCCAATAACTTGAACATAGTTCGATATGGTTGTCGTCTTTCGGGATACAAGTTTAAATACATTTCCGATGTCCTAACACTGTTTCTATCGTATTTGTAATTTTGTATCATATCTCTTTTTTCTTCATTCGTGACCGTCATTTTTTGCCAAAAATTGAATGACTTGTACAATATTCAATTCAATTCAATTCTTTATTTATCCATTCGAGCAAATACAGCTATAGGACAAGTCAAAAAACATATAGACATACAACAAAGTACAGTGAGTAAAATGATAAAATAAAATAAATTATGTACACTTAAACGCATAAAAACGAACCAAACTTTGGCAACAACTTAATAGGTTTTCGTTAGATGTTAATCTTTTTGGGAAAGAACGGTTTTGGCTTTCTACTTCTCCATCTTTATACAAAAAAAAATTTGGGAATTTTTCGAGTCCCACATCTGGTGGGAATCGTGTAATTCTGTGTTTATATAAAAGTGGTTGTTTCAGGAGGGATTTTTCTTCCAATTTGTGTTTGAAAGTTACTTCTTTGCATGACCTACACATCTTTGTATGGTTAATTTCTTGAAATCGATCACTTCCTTACTTTCTTTGGAATGTTCCCACATTTATTTTGTATAAAGGTGGAGAAGTGGAAATCCAAAACCTTTCCTTCCCGAAAATTAATCTCATCTAAAAATACACCCCTTTCAATTCATGTCAATCAAATTTTTTGGTCTTATGATTACCTTAATTCATTCAACTGCGAATCCACAGGTTTCTTCTACAGCTTGAGTGAGTTTATCCAACAAAACTTGATAACACTCGTACGGAGGTATATCTATCCTATTAAAACAAGTGTGTGCTTTGGGTAAATTCTGCAAAGGTACATCAACACAGTGAATAGTAAAGAGCCTTGGTCCAGCTGCCCCCGTACTCCCTTGTAAAGCTTTGAAACCCTGAAGCGGTACTCTAGAACTCCCAGTGACGAACTGTAGTAATCTGGCTCTCATTTCCTCTGAATATGACTCGACCGCTTGCCAAAACCACTGAACAACAGGTGTATCAGGAGTGCAATGCTTCAATCTCGTGTGAGACTGCCAGTCCGCAATGTCAATTGAACCGATACCACTTATGACAAGTTCCAATTCTCGCTCATCAAACGGTCTCAGAACAGTTGACGGAATCAGTTCGGAAAAACCTTTTTGTAGAGCTAGAAACTGTTGTTCGATGCCACGCATGAACCTATAATTGACGTACAGCTTCACATACTCTCGTTTATTGTCTTCGGTTACTGTTATTGTCGCGCCTCCTGGCTTTAGTTCATGAACTTTTACTACCCCGAAGCTATTATTCTCTACCGAGAATGTTGTTTCCAATAGTCCACTGATATTATTTTCCCTGAAAAGAGATAAAAATTTGTTTGAAAAATCTACTCGTAACGATTGAGATGGCAGTTTAATGCAAGACCATTGGCTGAAAACTCAAAGGCAATGAGGATTTGAGACCTCAATTTTGTCGTGTTGAAAAAAAGATTGAGATGATTACTGAAATTTATAATCTATTTTCACTACTACATTGTGAAGAATGTAAAAATTTGTTTCAATCGTGAGTAATGACACTATGTTGGTTCTAGCTCAAAATCCCATGCTCTTTCTTATGGTTCTTTATTTTAGCCATTTTCGGACCTCCGAACGGTACCTTGTGGAACTCCTAACCTAATTTATGATACGGAGTGACGTGGCGTTTATAAAAACCTACAGTACTTCTTATAGGCAAACACGTTTGGCGGTTTTTGTAAAACCCTTATAGTGAAAATCATACAATAAACTGTATTGATTATTATTATTATTATTTTCAACTAAATATGATGGCACATTCTTCATATTGAGTTCTGCTTCATGTGAAGGGTTATCTGACCAGGCTGATATTGCAGTTGCAAATATGCAATATGCTTAATTACTGTTCCAGAAAAGGCCTCGTACTGAATTACATCAATAAAACTAACACTTAATTTGGAATAAATAGTATATTTCATAAAAGCTTGAACGAACTTAATAAACTATCACAATTTGTAAAATAATCTGATTCAATAAACCAATTTAAGTCATCATTAAAGTATTACATTAGTGACAGCTCATTATGATATTTGGTTTTTTTTTGGTTGGTTTTTCTTAAATGTGATCTAACCTAACAATCTACAAATACTTTTTTTTCTGATTGATTCGGCCGTTACTTGATGAAGATCCATAGTAATTACAAAAACTACACCTCACGATTTGATCTCCACAAACTTTATTTGAAAAATATCTCACATGTTTCGCTAGCACAGTAGCTTTCTCAAGTGATTTGAATACTTCAACTTGTTCTTACATTAATATCTATATACTACAGGTAACCATAATTGAGACTACCTCCAGAAAATTACTGAAACCTCTACCTAAGGTACCTGTTCAATTATGATCACTTGAATCATATTACTTCTTCGATTGAAGACTTGTTTATTTTGTGGAAATTCATGTTCACTGAGGATACACTATAAAAACACACTTTTGTCTATTTTCCACTATATTTCTTTATTGTTGACCGGTTTCGGCTATGACACCATTTTCAAAACATTAGGAAGTGGAAGTGTGTTTTTAGTGTATCCTCAGTGAACATGAATTTCCACAAAATAAACAAGTCGTCAATCGAAGANGAAGATGATCACTTGGTGATCGAAACACGTGTCGAGGTGTTAAAAATAACGATTTGGTGTTGGATTATAACAGTTTTAATCTTCCTCTTTGAAGATGATCACTTGGTGATCGAAACACGTGTCGAGGTGTTAAAAATAACGATTTGGTGTTGGGAAAAAACTCCAGTAATATTCATTACTACACCAAAGGTTCCAAACAGTGCATCATAAGAAGATATAGGGCTTAGTGCTTTTAGCACGTCACCCTCAACGATTTTTATATTTTATCAGTACTATTATTATCATTCAACCCTCATTCCAAAGTTCAATTTTATCTAATACAACAACCCAACCAATATTTGTTCCCTCCATCCTGATTGGCTGAAAGTCCCTCTGTGTCATAAATTAGGTTGGGTGTTCTACAAGGTTCCGTTCGGAGTTCCTAAATGAAGCACCACATGAAAAAGCATTGGATTTTGGGCTAGAACCAGCATAGTACATTTACTATTGTACTTTGACTCTACTTTCATCTCAATCACCCAGTTGTTGAAACTATTGATATGATTCTGGCGAGTAAGGAGACAACAGACAACAATCAACAGTGAAGGCACAAAAATATGTGAGAATAAACGTTTCTGTTCATTGTAATATTGTTTTTGTACCGAAAAATAGTCTAAACCTAACCAAAATATGAATAGTCAATGTTAATGCAAATATAGTTACTTCCTACTAATTTGTGTAATGTGAAAATCAAGAAAAAAGTTTGGGATGAAGATTCATCCGACATGGTAGTCATTTCAAAAAATTATGTACTGAACAAAATGTTACTTACAACATCCACGTAAGGCTTCTGTGCAGTTCAGGATCAACCCCCTCGATATCTTGTAAAGTAATGGGTTTGTTCAACAACTGTTTGTAGAAAGGTAAAGTAAAACCCCCTTCCAGCTGATGGTTATGGAAAACCGCTACTCCTAGTATTCGTCCAACGAAATGGAAGTATGAAAGATGTTCGGGGTTTACCGATGAGTCCGGGTTGATTTGAAGAGTATAATGATCATCTCGACTGTACTGAAATAAACCGTATTGGGGATTTAGCATTTCTCTTGACAAAAGGTGTAACCACTCTCTCGCAATCCCGCCATAATCCAAACCTTCTTCACCACGGAATTTAACCATTAACCTTTTCCGCATATCTTTTGGTCGCATTTTCATGATTAGTCTGAAATCAAAGAAAGAAATTTATTTGTATAGTAGACCTAGTACATGGCTCGAACATGTCAATTGGCACGATAGGTTGCCTTTTATGTTTCGGGATTTGGCAACCTTGGCGTTGCAATCTGGCAACTGACAGTTCTATCGTAGAGTTGGACATTTTTGAGCTTATACGTACTCAGAACGTTTTGACATACGCGCACGAATATTTGTGTTGTTTACAGTAACTTAAAAGATTCATCTCGGCCAAAAAATGGAATTAAATCGTGAACATTTTCGTGTGAATATTTTTTACAGCTTTTGATGTGGATTAACTCAGCAACAGTGCATGGATGAACTTAATTCAATTTTTGGCGATGAAGCTCCATCAAGGACCTGTGCTTATCGACGGTATGGTGAATTCAATTTCAATTCAATTCAATTCTTTATTTATCCATTCGAGCAAATACAGCTATAGGACAAGTCAAAAAACATATATACATACAACAAAGTACAGCGAGTAAAATGATAAAATAAAATAAATTATGTACATGCATAACAAGGATTGCAGACAAAATACAATTAACATAGGATAGTGAAATAATACATGTTTACAGGTTGTTCTTTAAAAAATTAATTCATAATAATCTTCTAGGGAGTAGGGACACAGATCAATTAGTATCTTTTTCACTTCAATAAGAAATTTCCGGTTTGAAAAGGATCTATATCTTTGTGGAAGTCGATTATAGAGTCTTAAGCCAAGTACAGTAGGTGAATTTAAGCTAATATTTAAGCGTCTGAAGGGAACGCAATATTTGCCTTTCTGTCTAGTATCATAATTGTGTAGTTCATCTACACGCATATGGTCGTCACGAGCTTTGTGTATATTCTTCAAAAGTTCTNTGAAAATTATTTTGTGGATATTTAATTCGATGATTTAGGTGTTGTATATTTCCCATTGTTTTCTTTGGTATGTTTACAAAATAATCATTAAATATATTTGATAAAATTGATGGTTCTTCAATAATTTCATTATGTAATTTTATTGCGACGTGCTTTTGGTTTTTTTTTCCGTTGAGCTCATTTATAATCTGCCAAGTAGACTTACTTTTGTTTCATGAATTTTGAATTTTATCGATGTAAAATTGACTTTTCGAACTTAACAAGAGGTTTTTATGTTGTTTTTTGGCAAATTTATACTCAATATCAAGTGTTGGAAATTGTTTTCTTAGGTGATGTAATTGTTTTGAATCTTTAGATGATTTTTTTACTTCATTTGTTACCCATTCATTTCCAATGGTTTTTTTAATTTTTTTGTTTTTAATGGGACACGTGGCTTCAAAGTTGTAAGTCGTGGTCGTAGTTCACTCCGAAATGAATTTTGTGAAGGTCATCCAAAATCAGTTGTTGTTCTAAAAACCATTGATGCTGTGCGCAAACTGATATTACAAGATTGTCATGTAACCTATCGTGAGATAGGTTACATGACGAACATTACGAACCACATGTAACAAATGCTGAAAATGATGAATAATTATTTACTTTACCTGTAACTCTCTTCAAAAACTTCACTCCTCGATACTTCAAGTCGACAATGTCCACTTTGAGGTTGTAAAGCAGTCAGTTCAGCTCGCAAAACCTTCAATTTCGCTACTAAATCTCTTCTGTATTTAGGTAAATGTTCCGACTCGTTCAACAAACTTTGAGGCAAATCTTCAGTCAGCCTTGTTCATGACAGACCTTCGCAATAGCATAGTATGTGTACGGAGGTTTCCTCATCCTCTTGGCAAAGCCTGCATAGAGCTGTGTCTGCCAGTCCGATGTTGTTCATGTGTTTGTTGAGTCTACAGTGCCCCGTCAATAGCCCGACCAGAACTCTAGTTGATCGCCTACTCAGATTTAGTAAGTACTCCGGGAATTTTTGGCGATGGCTCTTTAATGAACTCTTTGGCCTGTCTCATACCTTATACCTGGATTTTACACCTCACCAGACACGTGCAATCCATTGTATAATAGGAAAACGGATTTGATAAAATTTGATTTGATTCAATTTGATCGATAAAGTCGACGAAGGCCGTTTGTGCCTGATTCTGATTGGCAAAGGTTCTACCAGTGAGAAAGTTGTCAAAGCGTTTGAAAAGATGGTAGTCGGTTGGCGTCAACTCCCATGCGGTTTTTGATTGTTCGAACTGTAATGAAAAGGTCAAGAAGCTGGAGAAGTTGGTGCTCCACAATTTGAACGATAGACACGTTTCGAGGTCTGTTCTTTGCTTTTACGCAACCAAAACGATCGTTTTTTGGATCGGATTGTCACGTGTGATAAAAAGTGAATCCTCTACCACAACGGATGACGTTCTGGAGAGTGGTTCGATACCTATGAGCCGCCCAGGCACTTTCCAAAGACGGAAACTCACCAAAAAGACCATGGTTGGTGTTTGGTGATCAACAGCTGGTGTGATTCACTATAACTTTCTGCAAACTGTGCCAAACAATCACAGCAGAGTCCTATTGTGAGGAAATCGACGAAATGCACTGAAAATTGCGTCAGTAGTAGCCGCCACTGGTCAAGGGAAGGGATCCGATCCTGCTCCATGACAACGCCCGTCCGCACGTTCACGATACACGAATCACCGTCTGGAAATAACGAGCGTCGAAGTTCTGCCACACCCACCATAACCACCAGCCCTCTCGCCTGTCGAAAAGTAATTTTCAGCATTGTGGATTCTAATGTGGAAATAGTGGGTGATGCCTTTCCCAGAAAGGCTGCTTTGCTATCAGTGATATCATCAATCATTGAGAAAGCCCTAAATCATCATATCTATAAATATTTGGAAGGCTGCAACGTCTTGAGCGATCATGGAGAGTGAAGAACTGTTACGCTTGATATTTTTAAGGCCTTCGACAATGTGTGTGGCATGAAAGTTTGGTGGCCAAACTTCGAAGCTATGGCTTGTTGGATCATTTTTGTGTATTGCCCATCAGCTTCCTGAAAAAACGTTCACTGCAAGTGGTCGTCGATGGATATCTCTCAAATACTTTTACCATCAACGCTGGTGTTCCCCAGGGATCTATATTGTCTCCAACCCTCTTTATATTATATAAATCCTTTATTTAGCAATGAAACTGCTAATACAATACATCTATAATCAAATACGACACCACAATGTGTTAGTCAACTAAACTCAGGAATAAAATTTCAAAGTATGAGTAAATGTTAGATCATTAAGGTATAATAGAAACAATATTGGTCCGAGTACCGATCCCTGAGGAACTCCTGATTTGACAGGAGAATAATCCGAACACTTTTATCGACGGTATGGTGAATTCAATCGTGGTCATAGTTCATTCCAAGACGAATTTCGTGAAGGTCGTCCAAAATCAGTTGTTGTTCTAAAAACCATTGATGCTGTGCGCGAACTGATATTACAAGATCGTCATGTAACCTATCGTGAGATAGGTTACATGACGAACATTACGAACCACATGTAGCAAATGCAGAAAATGATCAATAATTATTTACTTTACCTGTAACTCTCCTCAAAAACTTCACTCCTCGATACTTCAAGCCGACAATGTCCACTTTGAGGTTGTAAAGCAGTCAGTTCAGCTCGCAAAACCTTCAATTTCGCTACTAAATCTCTCCTGTATTTAGGTAAATGTTCCGACTCGTTCAACAAACTTTGAGGCAAATCTTCAGTCAGCCTTGTTCTAGGAGACAAAGGCTCAATATTTTGAGACGGAGGCAATACTGTATTGACGGTAACAGGTGCAACAGTGGTCGTGGCTGTAACACTAACTGATGGAGAAACTGTGGGGGCAGAGGCATTTGTTGTAGAGGTAGCACCTACAGGAATGTTTCCTTTTTTCAATATGTTATTGAGTATTTGTGAATTCAACCTTGGGTCGGTGAACTGTGTAGTTCGTTTATTGTGGTCCACAAAGTATATCTGAAAATAAACCAAATATACGGCATGACTCACGGTCGATGGTAGATTAGACGTTTCTGGAAAACGCAAAGCATGATTTTTCTGAAAATTTCATCTCTCACATTTCCTTACCTGTTCTATCGATCTGAAATATTTTCAGCTATGCGGCCACTTCTATCAAAAAGTCCTAGCAATTATATTTTTTTAAATGGAACACCCCGTATATTAATACATTTTTGGAATCGCTCTAGTATTTTAATAATTTTTTGTTAATAATGTACTATACCTATC